CTCATTCCCCTCTTTGGGACTTAAATGATCTGTTCCTCTGCAAACTGCTCTCCCCCACATCTTAACCGGCCGGCCCCTCCCTGATGTTCAGGTTTCCTCAGAGCAGCTTTCCTCCGGCAGTCTGAGGTCACGGCCCCCTCCCTCACCCATCGCCCTGGTTTTTCTAATCTGACACCCTCGTCTGTGCAGCACCCGTCTCCCTCACACGTGCATTCAGTCCCCAAGAGCAAGGGCGCTTTCCACAGTGATATCCCTGGTGCCTGGAAAACCACCTGACCTGAAAAAGATGTGGGATGCACAAGTCCCTCCCCAGACTGACCTCTGCAGACCTGCTGGCGACTGAAACCAGCAAGGCCACTGTGAACGGGCAAGCCACACGCTACAGCCTTTCCCGTACTAAGACAGGGCAAACAAGGCTTCACCACGATTCCTACAGCCTAGCGCAAAAAAGCAAGAAATGGAGGGACCAAATCCCAATGTCTTCCCAGGAAACGGAGGAACATATGAACACAGAAGGCTCCTTCCACTCCAGGCCTGACTTCCCTTGAAGGAACCACAGCCCTAGGGACAGCGCACAACCGTCCACACTGCACCCTCTCAGAGCCTCACCTGTGTCGCACACTCAGACCTCACAACATCTCCCTGCACAGGGACCCGGGCGGAGCGGCACCGCGGGGCAGGGCGGCACTGGGACCCGCGGCCAGGCCAGGGCCCCCCCACCCCCGCCGCGCCCACCTGCCCCCGCACAGCTGTACCGGTTGCTGATGTTAATGCCCTTCTCCCGCATGGCATAGAGCAGCACAGCGATGCAGTACAGGGTCTCAGCAACGTCCGGCATGGTCACGGTGGAGCCAGGCCGCCGGAGGCAGAAGAGCAGCTGCTGGATGTCCTGGACACTGCTGGACAGGAGGACAATGGCCGCTACCAGCGCCCACACGTTGACGCCCTGCAGGGGAAGGCGGACGGGATGGGGTGGGAGACGAGACCCCAAAAGCAACCGGTAAGAACCACATGGGACAGCAGGCAAAGGAAGCTGGGCTCGGGGTGTGGGTGCCTCCCGGGCCGTCCCAACCGAGTGCAAACTTCCCGAGTGACATTTGGGAAACAGTGGGAACGTTTCCTTCTACCCGGGACTCTGTCCTTCTCATCACTTCCGAGTTCTTAGTTTACTTTGATTAAACATTTCTAAAGTACCTAACAGAGGACCCTGTACAAAGATGATCCTCCCGCCTCCCTGCCCTCCCCTCCAGGTCAGCGTGAGCTCTGGAGTCCGGACACTCGGGTCGAACAAGCTCAATATTAAGCGGGTGCCCACCTGGAAGGCACAAAGGAAGACAGCAGCCTCGGGGAAATCAGGAGTGAAATTCCCTGCCATTAGGACGTTAATGTACTATTTCCCTCATGTTATCATTATTTAATATTTATTAAATGTTAAATAAATGTTAAATAAATTATTGAAAGTGTATTATTATGGACACATTATGCTCCATTTATTAACGTCTAATAAAACGTTCACTACCACAGAAATATTGGTAACAGACATGCATCTGTCATTCTTTACTGCAAGTCTCTCTGTTAAAAAATGCATTCCACAACAGGAAAGTTCTTACTACAACTATCCGCGAAAGCAGTCTCACTCCACCACCAGCAGCCACTCCACTGAAGACAGAGAAATGCATGTGGCTGGACTTCCAACCCTCTGCTGGCTGCAGAATAAGGCTGGGTATGGCCCGCAGCTTCCAAGACAAAACGTAAGGAGAATCCCTGCCCCAGACGAGGAGCCTCAGGACTGGAAGCAGGAAGCGCAGGACTATTTCCAGCTTCTCATTAACTCACTATATGTCTGGAGCAAAACCCTTCATTTCTCTGGTCCTTTCAAGTAACCCAAGTGGTCAGCAATACCCTGGGCTGCCCGGTAAAGAAATCCTCAACAATCAAAGTGTTCAGGGGCTAGATGACCCTCCTCTGTGGAGCACCGCTCAACAGAGTAAGAATTCGGACAAAACGCTCTTTAAAGTTCCTTCCGGGGGAGGGTACAGCTCAAGTGATGGGAGTGCGTGCTTAGCATGCATGAGGGCCTGGGTTCAATCCCCAGCACTTCCACTAAAAATAAAGAAATAAATAAACCTAATTACCTGCCCCCTCCAAAAAATTTAAAGAATAAAGTTCCTTCTACTTAAGAATTTAAGAATCTTTAAAAAAAAAGAATCTACAACAATGTGGCCTTTTATTTCTGTAGAGGATCAATGACAAGATTAAGGCTTCAAAGCAGAGATTAAAGGAGATTTTGAAAATAAATCTAAAATAACCTTCAGCCAAACTTGGTCACCAACACATTTTCTTCCAGTGAGAAAAGGTGTCACCTCCCCAAGCACCCCCGCAGCCCCTCACGTACCGCAGGGGCAGCGTAGAGATCGGGCAGGTGCTGGCGCACGCAGGCCTCTGCCTCGGGGAGGAGGAGGTGATCCCGCAGACTCCACAACGCCCGCCCGGGGTCCACACTCGGGGAGCACTTAGTGGTGGCTGTGTAGCTGGAAGGTATTCACAGCAGCGTCCGTGAGAGAGACGATCGCACGTGCCGACACGTGGGAAAGGACTTCGGAAACGACTTCCTCCCAGGAGAAAAGCGACTCACCGGATGAGGTTCAGCACACAGAGGTCCGACTCCTTCTCTATACCATAGCTGGACAGGATGCCGTCCACCTTGCTGACAGCTTGCTCTTCATTCATCAGGTATCGGTGATACAGCTTTTTCCAAGGAATGAACTGTGCAGTTTAAAAAACTCAAAATGACATGCAGGCAATTGTGATCAGAGCGTAGACGAGGCCACAATGACACAGATATCTAACTTTCTACCAACTGAGAAACAATTATAGCTCACAATTCAAACGCTGGGCAAACAGGGTAGAAACATCACACAAACTTTAGCTGGAAACTAGAACGGGGCCTTGGTTTTGGTTCCAACATTAACTTGTCACAGAATCTGGGAAATGCTAGTGCTTCAATTTCTCTGTCTGAAATAGCGTCCTGCCTCTGTCAGGAAACTAATGACTCAGAGTTTCAACGAGGATTAAATAATGTGAGAGCTGTGGCTACAATATCAGACAAAATAGACTAAGTCAAAAATTATTAGAAGAGACAAACAAGGAGATTATGTAACGATAAAAGGGTCAATTCAACAAGAAGACATAACAATTATAAATGCACATGGACCAAACATCAGAGCTCCTAAACCTCGAAAGCAAACACTGACAGAATTAAAAGGAGAAATAGATGGCAACATCGTAACAGGAGACTTTAATACTCCACTTCCAAGAACATGTAGAACAAACAGCACTAGACCAGCTGGACCTAACAGACATACACTGAACAATCCACCCAGCAGCAGAATACAGTCTTCTCAAGCACACATGGAACATTCCCTGGGATAGATCACATGCTGGACCACAAAACAAGTTTTAACACATTTTTTAAAAGACTGAAATTATAGAAAGTATGTTTTTCAATCACTGTAGAATGAAACTAGAAATCAGTAGCAGAAAGAGAACTGGAAAACCCACAAACATGTGGAAATTAAACAACACTCTTAAAACAACCAATGGGTCAAAAATGAAATAACAAAGAAATTAGAAAACACCTTGAGACAAATGAAAACAAAAACACAGCACACCAAAATACACAGGATGAAGTGCAAGCAGCACTAAGAGTTAAGTGTACAGCCATAAAAACTTACATCAAAAAAGAAGATCACAAATCAACACCCTAACTTTACACCTAAAGAAAACAGAAAAAGAACAAACTAAACACAAAGCTAGCAGAAGGGAGGAAATAATACAGACTACATAGCAGAGATAAATGAAATGGAGAACAGAAAAATATAAAAAAAAATCAATGAAACTAAGAGCTGGGTTTTTTTTTTTAAATCAACAAAAGTGACAACCCTTAAGCATATTAAGGAAAAAAGATTCAAAAAACTGAAATCAGAAATGAAAGGGAGACATTACAACTGCTGTCACAGAAATAAGAAGGGTTATAAGAATACTATGAACACCTGGAGATGAATGAATTGGACAACCAAGAAGAAATGATAAATTCCTACGAACACACCACCTTTGAAGACTGAATCATGAAAAACAGAAAATCTGAACAGACCAATAATGAGTTAAGGAGACTGAATCATCACCAGCACCCTCCCAAAAAGAAAAAGCCCAGGACCGGGAGGCTTCACTGAATTCTACTGAACATTTAAACAGGAATCAGTATCAATCCTCCAAAACTCTTCAAAAAAACTGAAGAGGAAGGAGTACTTCCAAACTTATTCTGAGGCCAGCATAACCTTAGACCAAAGCCAGACAGAGATGGTCTAAGAAACAAAAGGAAAACAGGAGCTGTGATAGGCCACTGAAAATAACCACATTGTGGCCTCGCTGATGACAGAAAGGGCGTTATCCTGACACTTCAAGAAGGAAGGTTAAATTGGGACATCTCTCCACGTCTTTTCAAGCAGAATGAAGGGAACCCTCACCGTCTTCATCATGCGTCTATTCAGCTCACATCAGAGAGATCTCAGTGAAGTGGGTAGAAATACTGACCCCAAATTCACATTTAAACACAGAAAGCTATTTCTCAGAAAGTAGGGGACAAGACCCCATGCAAAGAATGAAGCAAGAGTGATGGGAAATTTCCTCCGAAATCTTCTGTGTTTAGAAGATACGTATATCCACCTTGCACTGTACCCTGACGTTTTTAAACGTCAATATACTTGAAGACTGAGTTAAACTCCCTACCGCTGGTTTATCCCCTGGCTGGCCTAAGGGATATACAAGCTAAGCAGAATGTTCTCCGAGTCCTCGGGCTTACTGGAGACCTGAACCTGGGAAGTATGATCATGCAACACAGGGTAACGGCAGCACGGAGAAATCCTTCACTGGAGCATGGCCACTGGCTGTATCAACCTGGAAAGGCCCTCGTGGGTGACTCAACGCAACCCTCACTATTATTATTAATCACCTACTGTGTAGAAAATATCGTGAGACACAGTGCAGAATGCAAAAACAAACAGGACAACCCGCCTTCTGTCAATCAATTTCAAGAGAGGAGGAAGGCTCTCTAAAACCTGAACTCAGAACATGGTGAGCTTGAACAGGGGTGTGAGTCGCTACAGAACCAGGAGAGAGAGCTTTCAGTGGGAGGGACTGGGAAAGAGTAGTCAGTTTAGGAGTGAAGCCTCAGCACAGATACGAGGGGCCCTTTAGCTGGGGGAGGGGCAGATTAGACCAACATCAGGAAAGCACATGCAGTCTACACGTGGGATGCAGCAAACTGCTCGCTGTGGACAGAATACAGGGATAGGGTGAAGAGAAGTCAGCAATGGACCAGGAATAATAAGGTGAGACAAACATGGGAGGCCTTTGGGAGATGTGGATTGGATTTTGGAGGCAAATGGAAACTAATGGTTCTGAAGAAACACTCTTGTGAGTGAGGTGAATCTATGCACTCTCAGAGGAAACACCAGTGACAACATGGGCGCGCTCTCCGTACCAGCGGGTCACTGATGATCTCCCTCCAGAGGTGGCACACCAGGCTCAGGTTCCAGTAGAGGTCCTCCACGGGGAGGAAGGCAAAGATGTGCCTCAGGACCTCGCTGGGCAGGCTACAGATATGGCTCTGGGGCTCCTGGCCAGGCAAGGTCCCAAGAAGCCCATAGTAACAGTCAGGGATGGGGTCAGGACCGATGTCCTCCACCACCTGGCTGGATTCTCCAGGCGGCACAGAGAGCCGCGGCACAGAGTCCTCTGCTTCCTGCCTGGCTTCCCGGGGCCTTGGGCACGACGGGGACAAACGATGCCGTGGGGTCTTCTTAGAAACCCCGTCCAACTGACTGGTCCCTGTGGCCAGATTCCTCTCGTCCTCGAAGGACCAAGACCGCTTCCTTGCAGGCACAGCCGCCCCGAACGAGCCCAGCCCTGCTTCTCCATCGCTATCCCGAGGGAGGCCACAACTGCTCTCTGCAGCAAAGATCATTCCGTCTTCCGAGTCCTTAGAACTGTCCTGGCCCACAGAATTGCTCTTGGCCATGTCATTGGTGCACCGCTGCTGGCCGGCGAGGAAGAATTCAGGGCCGTATCTTGGGCATCCTCGACCTGCCCAGAGAACCCAAACAGAACCAATGAGAAATGAATGACAGACAACCCACTGTTGACCCAAATGAGACAAATTAATTTTCAATGATCTATTTTAATAGAAGAGAGGGACGAGGATATACCCACTGGTCAACTGATTATAACAAATAGCTTAATCCAAAAAGTATTTATATTGGGCCCTATCGTACAGTGAGACACACGTCTAGCAAGAGAAAGAGACCAGCCTTCAGATGGTGTGAGGACCACATCACACCTTGCGATGCCTACAAACCGAATACCTGAACGGACAGTGAGCACATGATGACTCACATGCACACACCTGCTCATCAAGTTCACCTCTCCTGGCCTGCTCTCACAACAACAAAAAACTAAGTTTATGCAAACAGAAAGAAAAATGCTTTAGATTATCAGGATTCAGTAAAACCCACTCTTCTCACTTGACAAGAGTTAAAACCTTTTGATTTTTATTTCCTCCTGTGAAACTGACACATTACTTTAAAATATAAAAGTCAGAATTCTCTTCATATTATTACAGTGGTACCTGCTCTATATATTTACTCAATAGGTATTTACTAAGCACCCATGATTCCAAGACAAATATAAATTGTACAATAGAACAGTGTGTATAGTCCTTCACTTCACAGACTTTTCAGGCACTTAGAGGAGTCCAAATGGTGACTTCACACGTTACCATGGCATTTTTAAACTCCTATAAATTATTTGAAAATGCCAGTGAAGTACTTAAGTATCTTATCAATATACAACAAAATACATGGTACCTTCCTGAAACAGTTGTAGCAAGAACTCAGTTTAAATAAGTGTGGAACAAAACAAAGTTTAGCCTTTAATAGAAAATAAAATTGAGTATTTTTTATATATTAGAAAAAATTTTTCAACTGCTTCTGGGGCAATTTGACAAAAGTCCAAGTTTTGAAGTCAATAGGCCTGGGTTAAATTCTAATATTTTCTAACTGTGGAATTAATCACACTAACATTTACAAAGAGCAACTGCTAGTTCGATGCAAGGATTCCACGCTGAAACACACACAAGCCAACAAGTGTTTATCAGTAGAGAACTCACAACACAGAAGAGAAGCTGACCTGTACACACAAAACAGACAAAATATCAAACAACATAAAATCACTGAGTTTAAAACTGCCTCATACAACTGATCACAGTGGTTCTAGTGATGCACACACACCACAGTCATACCACAATACTGAAAGCCAACTAGGGAAGATCTGAGCTGGACTCTGAGATTACATATATCGCAGGGAAATAAGCCTGGATCATACCAACAGGTGTTCACAAAAGTGGGCGTTCACTTGGCACAGTCAGGTAGTAAGAAAACCAAACCGCCAGAGGTAAAGCTGCATGTAACAATGTCAGGTGCCTGAGCGCTGGGTCCGTTAAAGGAAAGGAGTGGCAGTGACATGGCAGAAAATGGCACCCAGGAACGCTACCTTGATGGCCTATGTCCCAGCTGATTTAGAAGAAACAAAGTCTAAGGCAAGGACGACGGTTAACTGCAGCAGCCCAGGTTCGAGGTGACAAAGGGCACAGTCTACCATAAAGGCACTGATGAGGGGGCACTGGGGAGGAAAGCAGCGGTCCAGTGGGCCCAGCAACAGACTGGACAGAGGGCTACTGAGAGTGAAGGGTCACCCCGGGTCTAGACTGGAATGGTGGTGATGCTGGTCCGTGTCTCCTACCACGTTACAACTAAGCTAACGGAACTCATCCTGCCACGTTCCCTGGGGCTTTTACTGACCAGTCTGATAGGACGGAATTTTCACAGAAAACTCACAAACTACCGAAACCGGACTCCGAAACCACAGCAGCAACGTCTACAAACACTGGGAGATGTTCAAAGGCCACACACGCTACAGGTTCTGAAGTGCAAGGGGCTTTTTTGGAAGACGTACCCCTAGTCCCTGTTCTTGTTCTGGGTCTAGGATAGAGACCGTGGTTCGGGTCTCTGTGCGTCCATCTTTGAGAGAAGGGCTGCGTCGCAGCCAAGTGACTCCGAGCCAGATGCTGGCAGTCGACAGCTGTGAGGTGCTTCCGCTGAAACCGTCTCACTGTTTTGCACCAACAGGCAGAAGAAATGGGACACTTGTTAGTTATCACCAATTCTGCAAGCTGGCCGGCAAACTAAACGTACTCCGCAGGAACACAGCGACTGTGGGCCACCCCAGCCAGCCTTCCCCTCCTCCCTGGGCTCCCATCAACTTTCAGTCATTTCATAGTTCCTTAGCATTTCTTCCTTAAAATTTTAGAAAAGATTCTAAAATAACCTTGCTTTTCACCTGTCAAACTTTCTAGAGGCCCTGATCCTGAAATGCTCATTCAGAAAAAGGTTGCCACTAGTGGACAAGTCGGCCTCTTTTCCTTGACTTTAGCCAGGCCACTTATATTCCCGCTAACACCCATAAATATTTTAAGAGTTGGCTATAGCTTTCCAGAAATAAACTTGTTCATCATCCCTGGAATATACCGGCTTCCCCAAGTCGCAGGAGCAGAACACACTAACAGAACAGTCATGGAGACTCCCGGTACTCCCCGCCCCGTGCGCCCCCTCCCCGAGCATCCCAGTACTGGGCACTGAGGTAAGTGGACGGGAACGAGCCCCCCACCCCCCGGGAGAGGAGAATCGAGTCCACTTCCCAGCATCTTCCAAGGAGGACGTTTCATTTTCTCCCTTAACGACACATGAGAGCAGCAACTGTACCTAGAACTCTGTCTCAGAGAACTGAGATATTAAGGTTTATGTTAGTCACTTTCTGCCAGGTAATTCTTTTTCATATTTAACTGAGACTCTCCACCGTTCTGTATCTTACTGCATGTAAGACCTAACTACCTCCTTACGGCATTAAATAGACAGTTACACTACAATAAAACAGAATAGTTACACTTTAAAAAAAAAAGAGGACAAGAACAGATATAAGAGAATTAAAGTGATGCTTTACAGGAGACGGTCAAGAGAGAAACCAGTTTCTGCCCGTACTGTATTTTCACAGGTCCTAAAAACACTCAAGTAAACTGTAGTATCAAATGCCAGAATCGCACTCAACATTTCCTGTAAGACTGAAAATGTCTAAAACCAAGACACCGATGGGTATGTCCTGCACAGTCTACATGCTCAATCATGAATTCCCCTCGGCCCTTTGCGTCTTCAAAAACGATCCCTCCAAATTTCCGTTTATTCTTTCAAGGTTTAACAGAAGTTTAAAAAAGCCTCATGGATATTTTCAGACTTTTAAAAAAAGTCCTCCTACACACAGAATCAGTTCTACAAGACCCTCTGAAAGGATGCCAGAGACCTTTTCAGTACCTGAATTCAGAGTTAAGATGCCGTGGAGCAGTGTTAAAAACATGCCCAGGCGGACAAAAGCAGGGATGCACAGGGAGGGGCCACGGACCGGATGGGGAGAAAAGCTGGGTGTGAGCCCTCAGCCGGCCACTCAGACGCCAGGGGACGCCAGGTCGCTTGGCTTCCCTGAGATTCAGGGGCATTATACTGATTAAACGAGAAAACACACACCAAATAGTTGTCAAACTCTAAGACCTGACACAAGTACACCCATCTGCTTATTCTACTGAAGGAAGCTTAGAAGGGACTGATTCGCATAACACATTGAAATAACTTCCCAGTTAGAAAGATGTCCCCAGTGGTAAGGCATGCAGCACTCCAGCAGCCCGACTTCAGCCTCTTCTGTATCACCAAGTAATGTGTCTCAATTACTTACTGCGAACAGAAAATATCCCCTCCGTTGTCATGGTTCTACAAATTTCATTATTTTGTTGTTGTCAAACATCCCTCTATGCTAAACACCAAGTCTCAGTCCTGCTTACAGAGATTTAAAAAAAAAGAATGTGCAATTTTTCTGTATTAACAAAATTAAAATCTTGAAAATTTTCTATATTGAAAAAAATAAGCTTAAAGCCTGATTATTCTTTTTAAAAATAAGACACAAAAGTTTGCCTCTTCTGCTCAAAACCTTTCAGATTACAAAGCCAACAGCCTAACTGCCACCTTCTCTGAATGGGGAACCCTGGTCGCTCCGGCAAGAGACAAGGCAGCATTGTCAACGGGCTTGCAGAACAGGACCGCGACTCCCAGAGCCACGGGTTCAGCCAAATACGGATGGAGAACGCCACCTGGGCCCCACCAGTCCTGGTCCGTGGGGTGGACTCTAACAATGGACCTGAGCCCCCATGAAATCTGTTAGTACTGGGGGTCCTGGAACAAGTTTCCTGCAGACACCTCGGAACAGTTACAATGACAAACCCTGGCCCCTGTTTCAGGTGCTCCAAACACACTTGGCTCAAGCACAGGGGAGTACCTCAAGAATCCCAGCCAGTGACCCTCCCAAGTCCATGCACGCCAGACGCGCGGCTGGTGAGTGCTTCCTCTCCAGGTGTCCCAGCCCACGCACGCCAGACGCACGGCTGCTGAGTGCTTCCTCTCCAGGTGTCCCAGAGCTGGCAAGTACAGTGTCTACAGCAAGAGCTGGAGACAGCTGAGAAAAGCTACCTGTAGAGAATATCTTATTTAACAAAAGTGACAGTCTAGGGCTAAACTGGCCTGGAGAGGAGAAGTTTTCAGTTAACATCACCAAAAAATAAGGCTAACAATATCAAAGCACTCAAATTCCTGTGCCCCTGGTGCCAGCGCAGACCTGCGGGGAGAGCTCTGCTCCGGAGCTCTGGCCCAGCCCGGGCGCTCCTGCCTGTGGCCACCGCCGCTGCCGAGGCCAGCAGCAGGGGGCTGGGGCATCTAGACTGGGCCACGCGGCCTCGGGCACGAACGCAGCCGCCTACGTTGTCCATCCGGAGTGGTCACCGGAGCCCTGACCGCCCACCTGGGAGGCAGAGCTAGCTGTCACTGTGCCGACTCCTGTGCCTTCAGCAAGAGGTCGGAAGCCCAGACCGCATTTCCTCCTGCCTCTCGGGTCTCTGAGATGAAGCACATGATTCACAGAACGGGGAGCCGGGAGGCCTCGCATCCGTCTCTGGAGTTAACAAGTCATTCAAGTCAAAGGCTGTGTGAGGTGTTCGGATTCGGAGCTGGAAGGCCTCCTCCGCTCGGTAGGTGCACTGATCACTGACAGCCCGGGGTTCCCTTCTCAGCACAGTGGGGACCTTGATAAGCTGCCAGGTGGAGTTCACATCCAGACAAGTGGTTCAAACCAGACAAGACAGGGGAAAGTGCCTAGCAACAACCCGTGCGAGGCGGACGGAGCCCATCAGCTGACACGTCAGAATTACACGTGGACCACACCGAGCTGAGGGTCTCCCTGAAGGTGCCTGCATTTTAACAGCATCGATGCTTCTGCGAAGTTATTGTAAAATACTACAGTAAAATTCTAAGCACGATTCTTTTCTTAATATACTTCCAAACCAGCAGCTCAAATATAACTTTATCAAAATGAAGATGCTCAGATGGTATCTCTTCCTTCTGAGTCACCCAGACCTCACAGTGCTCCTCCCTCCTCCAAACAGCAACTGAGCAAGTGCCCTTCACACCTCTCTTGAAGGGCACTTATTATTAGAAACTGCTCATGATTCTTTAAGGAGCAAAGTTAAAGTGCTCCACGACGAATGTGCACAGTTCAGGGGATGGAGACAGATGACAACCACTACACTTGAGGGCACTCAAACTATGGAAGACCCCAGAGATGCGGCTGAACCATCTCCCTGCCACAGTGGGCACCCCTGCACCCCTGCTGGAGAGCCCACCACTGTGACTAACAGAAATGGGTCACATCCCCCCGATGTCAGGACAGAAAACACTGGGAAAGTATAAAGGCCATTTGCCAAACAGGGTTTTGCCCATTCCCACGCTGCTTTTCCGGATGGATTCCCCCTTCCTGGGCCCCCCTCCTAGAGCCCCTCAGTCAACTCAGCAGACCACGGTTCCCACCCTGCGCCCAACTTCCGGCCCTCTGCCATCACCAACCTCTTCACCCGGAGGACGACCTGTCCCCTCCTGGCCCCACTCCCCACCCCCCCAGCCAGGCCCACGGGCGGAGATTAGACCCCTCTCAGCCTCCTGGGATAATTACTGAACCTCTAGGAGACTGCCAGCCCCTCAAAGGCAGGGAGCATCACCTCATTCCTCAAAGCACTCAGCACAGCACTCTGCAAATAATGCATACTCCAACACTCAGCGAATGAGAAGGATGTGCTATGACTCTTCAATTCTGCTGCCAACAGCCCAGCTTCACTTTGTAGACTTATTTATTGCAAGACAATTTAAAAAACAAGTCACACAAAGTGGAACAGAGTGCTCTGGGCTGTGAGGCAAAGACTGCTATTCCTCCTCTTCCTGGCACACAGCGAGCCCAGTGTCCCTGTCCTGCTGGGGTCTGGATGCCGCCACCAGACTGGGTCCAAGAGGGACACATGCCTTTTCCAGGCCTGGCCCTGCTCCTTCCTCCACCCTCCGCTCCACGTCCAGTTCATGGGAAGGTGATCCCCAGGGAAACCTAGAAGCCACATGTTCAAACAGGAAGACCCTCCAGCCGTCTGGGACCTCGGATTATCACTTTAAAGAGGGTCACTTCCCCGCCAACACACACACACGCACACACTCCAACAACCTGAGACAGTTAAGGCGTTGAGACTTGAGCTTGGACCACGAGGGCATTACACGTGTGGATCTGCCCGTTCCTGCGGCGACACCTGCCCTCACCATTCCAGGCTCATTTGAAATTGATACCAAGACACCTTCTTTCTTCCCCTGCCTTTATTAGTCAGAATTTATATCAAAGTGTCCTCCAAACTTTACAGGTTACAAACCTAAGTGGACAAAATGAAGATAACACGTGCCTGCGACTCCTGGAGGGAAAGATTATGAAACGGCCACTTAAAAAGAAATCGAGGCAAGTGCAGCACAAGGTGAGAACCAGCCCCTAACAAAAGCGGCAGCAGGCCCTTGCTAACCCAGAGAACATCCTGAGCCACCCAACCTCATCGGGTTCGTCCCCCACAAACCTCCCACTCGTCAGAGGGGCTCAGCGAAGTTCAAGCAGACGCTGGCAGACGTGCACGGGGGCGGCCCGCTATCACGAGGGGTCAGGTACTCACAGCTCAAACTGCAACCCGGGAGACCCAAGAGCGCGATGCCAGCACACTTAACGGTGCTCGTCCCCAACTCCAGCGCCGCAGAGAGCACTCACTCCACCCAGGCAGTGCTGCGCAGTGATAAACCCACCCTGTCTCTCACATACCTGCAACAATTACCGTACGACGTATCTCTACCAGCCATGGACAAACTACTGTCACCATACAGCATATTTTATTGACACAGCCTTAACAACTGTTGAAGAGTGTATTGCTGTCTTCCGCCCCTGGAGGAAAGCTCTCGAGTCTGGTGGGCAGAGGAGCAAGGAACTGGCTCAGCCCCAACGCCCAACACGCACTGCTCCGTAAACAGGAATGAAATGAATGAGTGAATGAAACGAAGAAACGCACAAATGCAGCACTTCCCTCTGCAGAAGCCCGCTTTCCTCCCTGGCTCTGAAACCCCACCCTGTCTCACAGCTCCGACGAGTCCCGCAGCTTCCAAAGCGCTTGCACATGATCCCCCTTGATCCTTGCACAATCCTCCGATGGCGCCATGACTGACCCGGGGCTCGGTGAAGACGTGCTTGATGTCACAGCACAGCTTGCAGGCGATGGAACTTGGGTCTCCTGACTCCTCGAATCCAGAGTTCCTTCTGCTGTAACAGGCTCCCTTCCGTATCCAGGAAGGTTCAAAGCAGCTTCTAAAACCCCAGGTTTAATTTCTCTGTCCCTTTTTAAAAACCATTGTGGAACATCATAACCAAAGACTTAACGGCAAGTTTTCAGAAAACAAAAGGAAGGTATCACTAAATACTGCAGACTCAAAATGGAAAAACGTCAACATCTTTTGTCCCCGTGAGCTCTGAAAGCAGCAAACAGAAAGGACTCGCTCTTGATGCAGAGCCATGTCCCTCCCAGCCCCACACGCCGCTCCCCTATAAACCCACAGGCTCAGCCTCACGTGGGTCCTCTCACACCCGCAAACACCTGCTCCTCCCTCGGAACTGCCCTCACTTATTACAGCAAACGAGGATGGAGAGAGTTGTCCTATGTCTGTTTCTTGCAAGGGAAAGAAGGAATGGTGAGAAAGGAAAAACAAGAAAATGATCACTATTTACAGGCTAGGATTTATTTTTCACAGATTTGAAAGGTTTTTTCCTACTGTCAATTCACCCCACAGCCAATTTTACGTTCCTATGATGCCCTAGGTTCATGACAAACACCATGAGGGCTTCCTCTCTTGGCATCTCTGGTGTCAAGTGCTATTTGAGTCACTGAGGATACAAAAATGAGTGCTGTCACCTGTCCATAAGGTAGCTCTCCAAGCGAACTACTATACATAATGCAATGTGTGTCATACAAATGCACATATGAAACTCGTGGGACCAAAGAAAAGTGAACGGTTTGGAAAGACGAAAAAGGATTTATTAGGAGTTCAGCCTTGCCAGATGAGTAAGATCTGGGAAGGAAAAGAAATATGTGCAAAAACACAGAGAAAAAGCACAGCACTGGTGTGGCGGGAAGCCGGGTTTCATCGGAACGAAAGGCTCATGGATTGGGGACAAAGGTGGATAAACAATCTGGAAGCATGGAGTATAAAGGTCCTTAAATATAAAGCTAAAGAATTTTGGACTTTATTAGGTAGGCGAGTCAGAGAATCACCTAGCTTTCTTAAGCAGGGTCAATGCACGATCAAATCTGCAAGTGGAGGCAGGATCAAGGATCAGTAAATACGCAGACTGTCAGGAAAACAAGGCAGGAAGCTTTACCAGCCCAGGAGAGGGTTGCTGGCCGAGGCCTGAGGGCAGCGGCAGCAAGAACGGGGGAAGAGGAAAGCGAAGACCAGCTTGCCTGTTCTGACTGGAGAGACTGGAAGAGAAAGAACACAGGTAACTGACATTTGCAGCCAGAACTCAATGGCGACATCAGTGACCTTGCTGAGGAGGAAAAGAAAAACAGTGCTTTTGCTTTAGGCACTTCTTTCTGGAGTGAAGGAAGAAAGAAAGTTTCCAGTTTTGAAAATAGTTGTTTTGTTTCAAAATTATCTGTAGGAAGCCAGGTTAAGCTCTAGGAGGTACTTTGAACTATGAGACTGCTCCTCAAAACGTATGTGAGTGACAGCTGAAGACACTAGATTTGAGAAGCTTTGGTGAGATGCTCTAAGGGCAGGTGATTCCACAGACGGGCAAAGACAGGATTCACATTCCATCTTCAAATAAACGCAGGCTAGGAAGGACACAGAGGGAGGACAAGCAGAGAAAGATGATGTCAACAAATCTGAAATTAGACTTCTCAGTCCAATACCAATAGTTTGGTGTTCACACACCCACAGGTCACAAAACATGTCAAACCATCGGGATACTGAAGACCATCGCTGAACGCTATGGAACCCCGAAATACAGTGAGAGAGAAAGGAAAGAGGACAGTCAAGTAGCACATCAAAACGCCAAAGATGGCCACATGAGAAAAGAGACACTAAAGGGCACACTGCAAATTCCAAACGCCTGCACAGGAGGGGTGAGCAGACCAACCAGGAAACCGGTAAGACCCCAGGAGAGCTCCACCCACTACCCTACTGGCAAGACCTGTCCCCTCGACACCAAACTTCTGCCCTAGAGGATCACAGGGGCTGTGGACAGAGCCACATAAAAGTTACCACCTAGTTGTCTAAAGGGAGATACAGACCAAATTAAGTTGCTGAAAAAGACAGGAGGAACAGAACTGCATTCGGGACACCACTTAAATAACCAATCCCCTGGATTTAAAATACTCTGTACTACTGTGCATCCACATGTCCCAGTTTTGTTTTTAAAAACAAGGAAACTGAAGGAATAAGAAAAGGTGGGGTCATTGGCAATTAGGATGCGGTGGGGGTGGATTAGCAGCAAAAGCTGTGAAACAGCCAGATACCTCGCTTTCCATTTGCCACCAACAGCTGCAATGAGACCACTGCCTGGCACCTTCTAACACTTTATGCACTTCAGAGCACTTACGTCGTTTTTTCTGAAGTGGCAAGATACAATGCAACAGTAACTTTGGTAAAGCTGATGGGGACCTGGTTTTGTCTCCAGTGACTATCTGTATTACCAAGTACACCAAATTCAACCTGCTCATTAGGAAAGTGGGCTTGTTTTCAGGTGCCCACACCAGTGGTCTTTTTTCATTGCATCTCCCTTGATTTACCTGAGCAGAGTGCCGCGCATTCGCAAATCCTCACTGGGTGCTACCACTCTTCATTTCAGAGTGGTATTCATGATTACCTACCCTTCCACGGGAAAATCTCTAACTTGTTTAGGCCTCAAATTCCCCACCTATCAGGATGCCTGACACGGCTGTTTGAAGATCAGATAATTAATGTAAAGTGCTGTTCACACCAGAGTGCAATACAAGACGTGAAGCATAATTGCTTCCAGGCCTGGCAAATCGTGGCTACTCCCATTTTATTTCTAAAGGGACACTAAGAGCCGTGGAACTGAAAACACCAGGGGGCTGAATAACTAGCACCTGTAAGAACTCCACACCCACCCTTAGCTCCCCCATCACCCCACCTGCCTGCTCAGATGTCAGTGCCCTCCACCGGCTCAGGGCCCCTCCACGTCACCTTAATTTTCTTAATATTCAGGGAAGGGGGAGGGCAACTGCAAATGAAAGCAGCAAAAAGGATACAACTAAATGACTCGCCCAAGGTCAACACACCAGAGCAGAAGGAAAGGAAATGCTGGCCGGCCAGTAGCGGAGGCCACGTCCCCCGCGACCCCCACACCACCGGGCACCGACGCGCGTCCCGGGGCGCCCCTTGGCCTCACGCGTGCCGCCCCGCCGCGCCCCTGCACCGCGCCCGCCGACCGGCCGACCCGGCCCGGGCCCCACGCCCCTCGCGGACGCTCCGCCGGACCCCGCTAAGGACCCCAAGAGGAAGCGTCCACAGGCAGGGCCCGCCCGCGGCCCCTGCCACGTCGCCGGGCTCACGCACTATGGCGCTCCGCACAGGGGGTCCTGCCGCCACCGCCGCCGCCACCGCAGGGCCCCGGCCGCCCGGCCTCCCAGTCCCGGCGTCCCCCGGGCAGCGCGAGCCCGAGCAGGCCTCGGACTTCCTCCGCCAGCTCCGCCCCCGCCGCAGCCGCGGGGAGAGCCCGCCGCCGGCGCTGATGGACTGAGCCTGCGGCCAATCAGAACATGTGTTCGGAGGGGCGCGCTGATGGACTGCTCCGCTGACCAATCGGAACGCGAACCCGAAGGAGGGGCGGCCACCGACAGCGGGCCCCGCCCCGTCCGTGCTTCCGCTAAGGCTGAGGAGGCGAGTGGAAACTTTCCCAGAGTTCCTGCGAGCTCGAGGACCCGCGGAGGGGCCGAGGCGGGCGGGGCGGGGCCGCGGGCGGGGCCGGTTGCGGAAGGCGCGGCTGTGGGCGGGGCCGGTTGCGCCTGGTGACCTGGCGGCAGTGTCCGCGCGGGTCCCCGGCTGCTGTCCAGTCAGCGCGGATCAGGCCCTCAGCGGTGCGGGTGCCTCGCCGGCCTCCCGGTCACCCGGCGGTGGGGTGAGCTCGGGCCCGGGGCGGGCGCCCCCACTACCTAATGTTTCTCCCCAAAGTGAATCCAGTGCGCGCGGCAGCCTCCGAGCGTCCGATCGCGGCGAACCGCGGGCCGCGTGGTCCGGAGAGGCCTCGGCGCCGGGGGTAGGGCGGGCCGGGAGGGTCCCGGGGCGGCCCCGCGGAGGAGCCGGTGCCCATGGCCGCTCCCGCGGACCCGCGGCGGCTGTGCCGGCTGGTGCAGGAAGGCCAGCTGTGCGCCCTGCGGGAGGAGCTGCGGGCGGCGGGGCGCGCCGGCTGCCCGGGGCCGGCCGGGGACACGCTCCTGCACTACGCCGCCCGCCACGGCCGTCGGGACGTCCTGGCCTATCTGGTCGAGGCCTGGGACATGGACATCGAGGTCGCCAACCGGGACTACAAGCGGCCTCTGCACGAGGCTGCCTCCATGGGCCACCGGGACTGCGTGCGGTACCTGCTGGGCCGAGGAGCCGCGGTGGACTGCCTGAAGAAGGCCGACTGGTAGGTGGCGGGACTTGCGGAGCGACGCCCGCCCCGCTGTCCACCCTTCCCCGCAGAATCAAAAGTTCCCACGCCCTTGTCTGCCCAGAGCTCCTCCACCTTTCGCAGTGGAGCAGACGACCGAAGCCAACATTGTTGCTACCCTTGCGGGCTTAACTGTTCAGTCTTCTGTTCTAGACTGCTTCCCATTATAACGCGGAGAAGGGTATAGAACGAGGAAACTGACATCGCCGCAGTCGACATACTTGCTCAGTTTTCACCGGTTACGCATACACTTGAGTGTGTGTTCTCGGTGAGTTTATCACACTGTAGCCTTGCATGGCCACCTCCAGTCGCCATGCTCACCTGTCACCCTCACACAAAGCAATTAAATTTTGTTCAATCCACGTGGTTTTCAGTACTTAGTACCTCTGTCCTCCTTCTCAGAGGTTATGAACATCTGAAGATTCCTAACAATGAAGTTCCTGCCCGCAAGGGATTCCCGATCTGATATAAATAAAGAACACATCAGACAGCCGTATAGCTAAATAAAGTGCGTCTTGCTTGCTAGGCTGGGAGAGGAGGCCGGGTTACATTTTGAGGTTTGTGCTTTGGCTGTGATTAAGCACAAGGCTGATTTTCTTGTGCTCCTAGTGAATTGGAATAAGGACAGTGGGGCATATTACCTCTCAGACTTCTCGAAACAGTTCTCTGGATGAGGAAACCAGCATACTCCCGCCCCCCCCCAACAGCCATTAAAAGGGCAGGTCTCATTTGATTTTGTATTTAGGAAGTGCTGTTACAGCAAAACGTGTTTGCCCGTGCTCACCTTGCTGGGCCTTCTGAACCCCTTCTTCCCTGCTCCTCCAGTCTTCCTTCCTTGCGCAGGATTCATTCTCTCTGTGAAGTCCTTCTTGAACATTCCAGCCTTCACTTATCTGAGTTTTTCCCTCTGGATCTCTCATTCACTTTCATTATGATGTTATCAAAAATTTTTAAAAAGTGTTGGTGATTAAGAATATCAAAGCAGTCTGAGAGGACTGACCCTGGATGAGACCTTAGGGATCACCTCGTTACAGTAAGCTCCCGCCACAGCCCAGAGCCCGGGAACAGGAGATAAAATAAACAAGGCCTGCCTCGGCTTTCCAGGAGTCATATCAGATTAGAAGGCAGAAGTGTTGTGTGTGGTTAAGGGAACAATGACCCATGGTCCCCAGTGAAAGAAATCACAGGAGACTTGAGTCACAGCACATGGCAGGTTTTTATTAGTTGAAGCGACAGCACAGAGGGACAGGACCCCTGTGGACAGCAGCCGAGCTGAGTCTGCAGGTGTCTGTAAGGGCTTTTTCATGCACCCCGTCCCATGGAATTTTTCCAGCTCGCAAGCGCATGCTCACTTGTATCTAGAAAGCCCTTGTACGTGGGAAGGAAAAAAGAAGAGGGGTGTAAACTGGGGCCCCAGAACATCTGTTTTATTGGTCTTCTTCAAGGTCTTTTCAGGTTCTTTGTTTTGAATTCCTCATTCCCCTGCCTGCTTTTCCCTGACTGTTCGGTTCCCATCAAGAAGCCCAAAATCATGGCCACGGGAGGAGAGTTGGTAGCAACGTAGTTCACTCCCCGTAGCTGGGGACACACGTCAGTTCAGAAACTTAGTGTAATCACGCTGTTTTCATTTGCTTCACCAGTGTAGGCTCCCTGTGGTAAGGCGCTATGTCAGATGCTCTTGTTTAACTCCTTTTCAGCACAGTTTAATTAGTAAATGGTTACTGGTCAACGTGAACGGCATTAAGCCCACCGGAATACCCCTTATGCAGATATTCAGGACAAACTACAGTTTGGTCTCGTCTGTCCCATTTCAGTGCTGTACCGAAAACCGGCTCAGAAGCAGCTTTGCCGCCTCGGGATTCCTCTCCCGTAGCTGCCCCTACGTCACAGTCACTTTCCCCTTGTTACTCTCCCCCCCTCCTGGATCCCAGCCAAACCAGTTTTTCTGCACCCCCTTCCCATCCCTGTGTCCTTTAGGTCTTCAGTCTCTGCCTAGTATGTGCATTTTCCTGAGGACCTGGTCACGTGCTTCTGACATCTCAGCTGCCCTTCCATCTGACTGCTTGTCCTGCTTGGCCCTAGGACCCCTCTGATGATGGCTTGCACGAGGAGGAACCTCGAGGTGGTCCAGGACCTCGTGGAGCATGGTGCCAATCCGCTTCTGAAGAACAAAGATGGCTGGAACAGTTTCCACATTGCTAGCCGGGAGGGCGACCCTCTGATCCTTCAGTACCTGCTCGATGTTTGCCCAGCTGCCTGGAAGACGGAGAGCAAGATCGGGCGAACCCCGCTGCACACGGCAGGTGTGGGCTAGAGCCGTGCAGGGTACAGTCAGGGGCCCGCCCGCAGGGGCTCGCAGGTATCGGGGAATCGGGGACAAGGGATACGAGCAGCTGAGCAGCTTTGGAGTATTTTGGCAAACACTTAGTTTCTATAGCTAACGTCACTGGGCCCTTAACACACTCTCCTTTCTTGCTTTAGGTGACTGTCCATGTGTATCTGTCCTCTCCTCCCCAGTTAGTTAGATGGCAGGCTGGTTCCGTGCCTTACTAAGTCTTTGACCTTGGGCAAGGAACTTAGTCTCTTGAGCAGGGTCCCACGACCCCAAAATAACAATGGTAGTGATGGTGCCCGAATCGCAAGATTGTTGAAGGGTTCAGGGAGCACGTGAGCTCCTCAGCACAGAGCTTGACATGCAGTGACCCAGCCTGCTGTTTTCATGACCATTTCACATTGTCATCATTAAAGGCAGGAGGCAGGGAGACTATTTCCTTGTATCTTCAGTGCTGGTCGCTTAGATAAATACAGGTCTTATAATTAAATATGCCTGGCCCTCAGTGGCTGTGACCTACCTATTGATAAGGTAAATCT